GAAAAACAGCTCAAGATAAAACATTTGAGGGAATGTAAAATTGCATGTATGCAAAATTATACACGAGTTGTGATTATAATCATGTGAAAAATATGTGAGTATCTGAATAAATATTAGCAAAAACATCCTAAAATTAAAACTATTACATTTAAGATGATGGATTCTCCTTTGAATATTCCCTTTAGTGTGGTTATGGTGTTTTCACAACAAATAAAGTTTGAAAGCAAGTCTTACAAACTTTACATGGTGTCATAAGTAGGTGTGCATAAGAATCACCCAAGGTCTTGTTAAAAATGCAGATTCCCAGGCCCTAGACAGAGAGATTCTGATTCTATAGGTCTGGGGAATGGTTGCGTTTTTAAGCCACATAGTTTTTTGTGATTTGTTACGGCAGCAGATCACTAGGTCTTTCTTCTGTGGCACCACTGGGTGGGTTTGAACCACCAACCTTTAGGCTAGTAGTCGAGTGCAAACTGTTTGCACCACTCAGGGAATCTAATTTTTGCATTTTTAACAAGCACCCTGGTCATTATGTTGAAAGTGGTACACTGACAACATTTGAAAAACACTGCCGTAGGTGGTATCTCTGAAACACCTAAAACGTATAGAGCTGGGACATTATCTGTACGAAGGCAGCCCAGCTTTGTGCTAGGCAAAAGACTCTCAGCCAATATCCTACCATTGTTGGAGAGACAGTAAGCAAGTTTAAAACAAAGACTTCATGTTAACAAAAATGCTTTCTCTCCCTGGTTTTTAAAGTGAAATGTCACTGAAAGGTACAGCTCTGATCATTTTTTCTCTTAGTCTTCCAAGTAAACTTGAAGCTGACTGACAAAAGCAACGCAGGTACTAACGGTTACATAGCTCCAGTTCTCTTGCTTCCTCCCCCTACTTGCTGTAACTTATCTCATGACTTTCTAGAAGACTGGACACAAATTTAGCCATAACCTGCCTTTACAAGTGAGGCATGGCAATTTCAAATTCTATACCTGGACAGCATGATCTGCATAGACCAGTCCTCTGGATGATTCAATACTCATTTTACTCGTTAGGGTGACCAACTTGTCCTGGTTTGCCCAGGACTTTCACAGTTTTAGCACTGAAAGTCTCGTGTCCTGGGAACTCTCAGTCCTGGCGAAACAGGATGGTTGGTTGCCCTACACCTTTCCATGGCTTATAACCTGTGCAATTATGTTCAGCTTAAAATAAATGAATGAATGAATAAATAGCATTCTCCAGGAGGGGTTGTCAGCCTCCACAGACAGAAGTCAATGATGTTAAAACTGAACCCACCAACTCTAACCGTATTAGCACTTTCCAAAGTGTGTTCTGTGGGATGATAACACAGGCAAAAACTTAGCTTTTTGAAGATCTTCCTTGGAAATAGAATACATGTAAGATACTGTACTTTTTATTTTTTAGAAATAAGATATTTCCCTGAACTGAATGTTGAGTGTAGCAAGCAGTCCTCCTTCATCTCTCCACATTTCTAACAAGCATTCGTTACTTAGTGAAAATTTTGCTAAGATTTGTGTGCGTTAAACTCCTCAGAAAGGCGAGCTGTTAGGTTGAAACAGGCAATCAGAATGCAGAACGTAGAGACTAAGAGTCAATCTGCCAGGAGGGTGTGGAATTTTTCATCAGGTAGAATTAAATAGAAGGCAACTCCTCCTACACTTGATTTTGTTGTTGTTGTTGTTAGTTACCATCCAGTCAATTCTGACTCATGGTGACCCCAAGTGTGCAGAATAGAACTGCTCCATAGAATTTTCAAGGCTGTGACCTTTCGGAAGCAGATCACCAGGCCTTATTTTGAAGGCACCTCTGGGTGGGTTTGAACCCCCAACCTGTCAGTTAGTGCTCCAACACTTAATATTTGCAACACCAAGGGACTTCTTCTACACTTGATTTTAGAAAAGTAGTTTTATTGTGATGCTTTTGGAAATTCTCTAAAATCCTCAAAGTTACTAAAGTGATTCAGAAAGCAAAAAAGCATGTGCCTCTCAGCACAGTTTGTTTCAAAATATAGAACAAAACATTTTCAGAACTACCCTGCCCACACAGAAATTATACCACTTTAAATATTGCAAGTGGTTATTAAGATCCCCAACATTTTATTTCAAAATCAGCTCCAAACTACAGCTTTCAAAAGCAGCTGGTACTCTTAGCTCAGGGATAACCCGACTGACAACTGATTTACACTGTGAAAAATATACTTGGATGGGAATTTAGTACATTTGCCCTCTTGAATTATTGGGTGCAATATCAAATTTCTTTAAAAAGCCGAGTAGCCAGTGGCAATTTACAACAATTATAAGTTTCAGTTTTTCAATCTTTTTAGAACATCAAATATTTAATGCAAAAAAAAAAAAAAAAAAACAATTTATTCACCACTGCCCTCTTTCAGTAAAGGATTTAAGGTGACCAATGCATAAAACCATAAGTGAAACCAACAATTAAAAAACCAAAGCCACCTATTATAACTGTTTTAACATTTTTCCAAAGTGTGTTCTGTTCGATGTTAATAGGCATTATGTTAAAACAAAAAAGGGAATCTCAAGCCAAATAAGTTTGGGCAACACGAGAATAAACCGAGGTTAACACATGTTTCTTCACTGCCAGACTTTTGAGAAGCTTGACATTGATAGTGGGCACTGACACTCTTCAAGGTGGGGATACGGCACGTGTTTCCTAAACTCACTTGACCAAATTTTGTCAGAATATCTAACAGGCTTGGGTTCCAACTAACACACTTGGAGAAACACTGCTCTTGCCTTTTTAAAATTTGACAATTCAGCTACTTGTAAGCTGGGACTAAAGCTATTTTCAGTGAAAATAGTTTTTTATTTGCAAATAGCCAGAGTAGCTTTGTCCAAATCATAGAACACACTGGAGTGGCATTCTAAACATATTGACATTTCAATACTCTTTGAAAGGAAGCTATTCTTATAACAAATATCACTACCTTCAGTTTACAAGAACAAACAAGGTAATGAGACCTTTTAGAAAGCACTTGTAGCTTCAAACTTAGAGAATTTCACCCTGATGACTTGGAGAGACAGATTAGTGCCAGTGGAGTAGGGCTTTGTTTGAAGAGCTGTAAATGAGCAGATATGGGCATTTGTAGCTAGGTAGGCTTATCTGCAATTACATATTCCCTTAAATGAGAGCTGCCTGTATTTCCTAGCCCAAATTAACTGTGGATCTGTAAACAATTTAAACTGTCTTCTGATCCCAGCACTGAGGAAGAAGGGGAAGAAGATTAAAAGAGCCGTCCAACAACAGTCATTAAAAAGTAAACTGCAAAAGATATCAGGGGTGCAGGGTCAGCCTGAAGACAGTTAGGAACCACTGGACTATGCTATATATCATTCCACTGCCTTACGCAGGGATTTGTCCAATCAGTTTATCTGTAAGAATAAGGTCTGTATAAAAACACAGTTTAGTCACCAAAGTGATATTAAAATGAGATGGGGGTAAAATGGGTCAAATTGTTCCACACATTTCTCCTTCACTGCGTAGATATCAAACATGTAGACAACCAAATGTTGCTTTAGTTCAGATGTGGTTACAAAGAAAGTACTGAAGTTATCAAGGATTTCATTTTATTTAGCTCTACAATTAACACCCATGGAAGCAGCAGTCAAGAAATCGAACGATACATTGCATCAGGCACATATGCTGCAAAAGATCTCTTCAAAGTGTTCAAAAGCAAAGATGTCACTTTGAGGACTAAGGTGTGCCTGACCCATGCCATGGGATTTTCAATCTCCTCATATGCATGCAAAACTGGACAATGAATAGGGAAGACCAAAGAAGAATTGACACCTTTGAATTATGGTGTTGGTGAAGAATACTGAATACACTACGGACTGCCAGGATAACAAATCTGTCTTGGAAGAAGTACAGCCAAAATGCTCCTTAGCAAAGAGGATAGTAAGACTTCATTTCACATAATTTGGAGATGTTGTCAGGAGGGACCAGTCCTTGGAGAAGGACATTATGCTTGGTAAAGCAAAGGGTCAGCAAAAAAGAGGAAGGCCGTCAACGAGATGGATTGACCCAGTGGCTGCAACAATGGCCTCAAGCATAACAAAAATTATGAGGATGGTGCAAGACGGAGCAGTGTTTTGTTCTGTTGTACATAGGGTTGCTATGAGTCGGAACTAATTCAATGGCACCTAACAATAACTATCAACCAAGAAATTCATTTTGTTCTTTAACCACATCAAAATGACATTGCACAGAGCAATAAATAATATAAAATATGCAAATAAATTTTTATTGGGAAGAGGAAATGTTACATAAAACAAGTGTAGGGCTGATGAAGTAGATTACATTAACAACCACTGTTTAAGAAAAAAAATACAGGTTTAACAAAGGAAGAAGTTGGAAGTTTAGAACAAGTTTCTATATACAATTTTCCAAGCAGTTTTAAGTAACAAGATCTCAATCTCCATTAACTATACAGATCATTGAGGCAAAGTGTATTGGTTTGTGGCTATTTCCCATCATCAATTGACTTTGTACCTTGTAAATTTGTCTTTTACCATGATCCCAACTCTGATGGTCCTGGTCCTGATCCTGTTTTAAAAAGGTCCTCTCCATCCACAAGTGGGCACTTATCAAGAGGTTACATCTCAAGTAGGGTCTGTTTTTTCTGTCATTGTGAATTAAATAAATTCCATGTGCTCTTAACTAAACTTCATAGTTTTAAAGACAGCTGCTTGAGCCAAATCTGGAAGAGTTCTTCTATTTTGGGGAGTGTTTAAGTCACATGTACACACGTGTAAAGAGTTTAGAAATGGCATCAGAATACGTGCACCACATCTTTGTTTATACAGTTTTAAGTCTCCTGCAAGTTAATAGGACCTGTGTAATTCTGGAGGCTATTAGGTAAAAACGAATATCTGCACGTGGTATGGAAACCATCCTCAGATGAAGATGAACAATACTCATTTTGCTTATTTCTACCCCCCAATAGAAAACATTCAACAAGGACAATTTTATTTATGTTTATTTAATTGTAACAAAAATAGAACAATGTATATCAAATGGAAAAAGATATTCAGAAAAGATGATGAAAAGGTTTTGGAACAGAAATTACTAAATTTATCTGAAGGAATTACCCAGGTGCCACTAAAACACATTTGCAACCTATAATTGGTTATTAGCGTAAATTAAATTTAGTAACTGAGTCCCTGTTCACCACTAAAAGTTATCAAAATATTTTTAAAATGTTACATAAGAACTGACAACATCCATAAGTATTACATAAACACCAAACAAAAATTATATAAGAAAGATAAATAAATGTATTCTGAGATAAACTACAAATCACACTTGTCATGCCAGATATACACTCCCTTTCCCCTCACTTAACACTTGCAAGGATTTGGTATTTTGCATGTTACAAAATAAAGTAATGATAATACATGTTGATGCAAATTTCAGCCATAAAAATAAACTACTTCATATCTTACATATTCCTATGATGAAACATTAAGGCTCCAGTTTCACTAATTAAAACTTTATGAAGATAAAAATTGCATTTGGTGTTGACTCCTCAAATCATGGCTGAAAACTCTTAGCAAAGCATTCTAGGCTTTTTTTCTCACACCAACTGACCCAAAATATATTTTAAGAAATGTTTATTTTCTGTGCATATTTGTTTTAAAATTATAAATTCCTGAGCACTTTTTCTTCTTCCTCCTCATCACTGTCAGTGACATTGACTTGCTGGATGCTAGAGGGAGTTGATGTCGGGGCTGTGAAGACATTCTCCAAGGCTCCAATGTCCAGCTGAGGCATAGGATTTAAGTATTCTTCCCCACTGTGGCTATGACTGTTATAGTAAGAGGTCCCATCCATGCTCTCACAACTCCGAGAGTCTTCACTGTGTGTGCGTTCATCTGGGTAGTCTCTAAAAGGATAGTCTCTATTTAAAGCCGAAAACATAGCCTCATGTTTTTGGTACCTGTCTTCATAATAACCAAGGCATTCTGGCATTGAACTTGGAAAATTTCCATAGCCAAAGGGAGGACGACTATAAGGGCACGTGCTGCAGCAGAAAGAAATAAAAAAAAAAAGGAATTAGATCATACCTTGCCCACATGATGCCTGCATACAGACTACCTAAGCAAGTTAACTGCATCCTCTTTGGGGGTCTGGAAAGTTCCCAAGATCCTTTCTGCAACCACTTCATGTATTCATCTGCTCTTTCTCCTCACCCATGCTAAAGTGGCAAAGTAAGCTAGTGACTGAAATACTCACCAGCACTCTTACCTATTATCAGCCTGAGGCTTCTTACCTTTTGACAGCCTTGATAAAGAAAAATCGATCTTGGCCTTTCTCTGATGATGCCTCACAGGTATTGGAAATGCAGGCATGTGTTCTACTAGGCTAACAGTGGACACTTACACGGAGGAATGCAACATTTGTTCTTGCTGGCATTTGAAAAGAAGCTCATGGGGTAAAATGCATAATTGGTTTGAAATCAAGAGCTCCGGAATATTGGGATAGGGAGTTGCTGGGAGATGACAACTTAGTTTTTTAATTGACATTCAATAATAAAGTAAGTTAAAAACACTCTTAACAGCAGAGAGATTAAAACTGATTGATACTAAACTGTGGTTTTAAGAGTCATTTCCAAATTTCATTTTGGAGGGTAGGAGTTTGAAGAATTAAAAAGATTATTTTGCTGTTTTATAAATTAGTGATCAAAAAAATTAAAGCAAATCCAAAAATTCTGCCATTCAAACCCATTTGTCAAAGGTTTTTAAAAAAAAAAAACCACAATATTATCCTCCCCTTCAAAGGCACAAAACAGGAATCACAGAAGGAGGTATGGAAAAGTTCAATCAAGAGTCCCTGGGCTCCTGGACTCCATCTAGTGACAGATAACATAAAGATAGTGATCATGTTTATTATCAAAACCCATGCCAAGTTGGATATTCAGTTCATGCTTCCCATTAAAAAAAAAGTCAACTTTGTTTCCTGACCTTTAAAACATAAGTATGATTGAATAGTAGACTATTATTTCAAACTCTTTGATAACATGAGGTATCTTCAATGGTTTGCTGTCCCACATCCAAATCTTTAAGTGCTAGGTAACTTGTCCATGTTAAATACCAGAAATATAAGGCAAAGTTAATAAAACTTTTTAGGTTTTCTTTCCTATTGTCACATTCTAATCCAAGCATTTTTTCATTGTTGTAAAAATATAGATAACATACCAAAACCAAAACTCATTGCCATTGAGTCGATTCCAACTCATAGCAACTCTATAAAACCAAATCCACTGCCTTCGAATTGGTTCTGGCTCATAGCGACCCTACAGGACAGAGTAGGGCTGCCCCATAGGGTTCACAAGGAGCAGCTGGTGGATTCAAACTGCCAACCTTTTGGTTATTAGCCAAGCTCTTAACCACTGCACCACCAGGACGCCATAGTGACCCAGTAGGAGAGAGTAAAACTGCCTCGTAGGGTTTCCTAGGTTGTAATCTTTACGGAAGGAGACCACCACATCTTTCTCCTGAGGAGCGGCCGGTGGGTTTCAGCTGCTGACCTTTTGGTTGGCAGCTGAGCACTTAACCACTGCACCACTAGGGCACCTATAGATAACACGGCATTTGCCAATTCAACATTTTTCATGTATACAATTCATTGAGATCAATCATGTTGTGCAATCATACTGATATCATTTGCCAAATTCAGGCATTTTTAATTTAATACATATGTCCTGAATACATTGTGCTTTCAGCTCCTATGACTTTGCTTATGTAGTCTCCCCCATCTTTAGGTCTCCCTATCCATTGAATTCCACAGATTTTTCAAGGAAGATGCACAAATCCATTTCATCCATAAGGCCTTCACATCAGCTAGAAGTGATTCCCTCAGTAATCAGTTTTTTAGGACTCAATGCATGCAAGATACCATACAAGGCTTGGTGAAGAATTGAAAAAAAAAAAAAAAAA